AACTCGTTTTTCATCTTGGAGATTTGTGTTTTCCCTCTGGCCATCCTGGATCGCAGTTAGTTTATTAATTAATAAACTGTTACGCTTTACGCTGAATTTTCATTATAAACATTTATAAACGGGAATATACAAGCCAAGAGTATTATTTGAGCCCCATTGAATCGTAACCAAATGCTTAAAAGTTTTGCGTTCGTGTTTAGCATATTGAATTTGAAACTGAATATAGAGATGGAGGTCAGAAATTGGTAATTGTGCGCAAAAGTAAATGTGATAAATTGCACGTGTCACTGTTATTATATATTTTTAAGTATTTTCATTAAAAAGTGATGATCTTTTTAAATAGCGCAAATGTCATGCAAAAGTTTCAACTTGTACAAACACCATACCGTGAACCACCTCATTGTTCACTTGCACATACTATATTTAATAATCACTATATTTAACCATTTTGATCCACAGGTAATTCAGTCACAAAGTGAAGGCCTTAAAGGGTCTTATACAGAATCCACACTGAGTTTAGTGGATTTGGCTGGATCTGAGCGAGTTGGCCAAATGAAGATGGGAAAAGATCGACAACTAGAAGGGGTGTCAATCAATAAATCTCTAACTGCGTTAGGCTTGGTTATTCGTAAGCTGAGTGAGGGAGAGAGTTTTATTAATTATCGAGACTCTAAACTAACTAGAATATTGCAACACTCGCTTGGCGGTAATTCGAAAACCCTGATAATAGCCACAATAACTGTGGCGGTTTCTGAGGAGACAAAGTCGACATTAGACTTTGCACACCGAGCCAAATTTGTTAAAAACCGTCCGGTGGTTAATCGCAGAGTAACCGATAAAGATCAATTAAAAGAATATGAAAGTTTGTGCCAAAATTACAAAGTTCAAATTGAAAAATTAACTGGAGAAAAGTTGGACCACGAGAAGAAAATAAATGCTTTAGAAGGAAAAATACAGTGCATCGAAAAATTTAGCGATTTTGGGCAAAAATCAACTATTCGACATCAAGTGCCATCAAGAAGACATACGTTTGCGCACTTTAAACCTGAAAGTACTAGAAATCCTTTACCGTTTTCATTGCTTTCGATCGATGAGGAATGTTTGATGGGTGATATCGATACGCCATCGAAATCGGTCATACAATCAGATGAGATTGAAACCGATGTAATTGACGACGGGGAAAATATCATGACTCCAAACAGAAAGCCTCCTTTTGAAGATTTAGACAGTCCAAAAACGGCGCTAACTCGATTAAAAGTTGAAAAGGAATTGATGGAGCAATCTTATCAAAATTTAGTTTTATTCACTAATCTAGAAAATCAAATTAAATTAGAATGTGATGAATTGAAGGAAATGCGAGACTTATGTGATCGTTTACGAAACGACAATTTGGAATTGCGAGAAGATCGTCCCATATTACTGGCAAAAGTTGAATATTTCCATAACCAGTTGATTACACTGCAGACAATTTTAGGAGGGTCTGTCGAGAGGAACTCTGAACATCTTTATACTATCCCGGAAGAAAAGATTGACTTCTTTCTGGAGGACACTGAATTAACTGAGAAAATCAGCGACGATGAGGAGAAAGTAAGATTTAAGCACGAGTTAAGCAAAAAAGATGATATTATCGATGCTCTGGAAGCAGAGCTTAATAATCAAAAAGTGAGATTTGAATCTGTTCTAACTGAAATGAACAAACTTAAAGAACATATAACAGATAAAAATTTGAACATTGAAAAACTCAATAGCATTATAACTCAGGATAGAAATATCAAAGAAGCTGAACTGGACACACTAAACTGTAAAATTCAAGAACTGGCCTGTTATAAAGAAGAGATGCATAATAAACTTTCTGAGTTAAGCCAAAAAGATGATATTATCGATGCTCTGGAAGAAGAGCTTAATAATCAAAAAGTGAGATTTGAATCTGTTCTAACTGAAATGAGCAAACTTAAAGAAGATATAACAGATAAAAATTTGAACATTGAAAAACTCAATAGCATTATAACACAGGATAGAAATATCAAAGAAGCTGAACTGGACACACTAAACTGTAAAATTCAAGAACTGACCTGTTATAAAGAAGAGATGCATAATAAACTTTCTGAGTTAAGCAAAAAAGATGATATTATCGATGCTCTGGAAAAAGAGCTTAATAATCAAAAAGTGAGATTTGAATCTGTCCTAACTGAAATGAACAAACTTAAAGAAGATATAACAGATAAAAATTTGAACATTGAAAATCTCAATAGCATTATAAATCACGATAGAAATATCAAAGAAGCTGAACTGGGCATACTAAACTGTAAAATTCAAGAACTGACCTGTTATAAAGCAGAGATGCAAAATAAAGTTTCAGAATGTCGACGAATAGAAGGCGAAAGTAAGAGCACTGACAGCATGCAGCAAGAGAATATCACTCTTAAAAATAAACTAGGTGTTCTGGAGCGAGAGAACCAACACTTGCATGAAAAGAATTTGGCCCTTGAACACCAAAATGAATCTGTAGAACAACGATTGCAGGAAAATAAGCGTCTCAACTCACAATTACGTGACATGATTAGTCAGTTAAAATCGGATGACCATGATAAGCTTAGAGCAGAAAGAGATTTACTGAAAGCTAGGACCCAAGAATTGGAAAAACAGGTTGCTCATTTAGAAATATCATTGAGAAAGCGGGTGCAACTTTTCACCAACCTCAGCCTCCACTTAAAAGAATTGCAAGATCAGAAAGAAGCAAGCTTAAAGGACGTAAGAAAGTTCGAACCGGAAGTCTTGACGCAAATCGAGCCCGTGCTGCAATCTAAGAAGTTAGTAGTTCATTCCAAACAAGGACTTACGATGGCAGACTTATTTGGTAATTATTACATATTATCCAAAGTAGTTCGACATCCACATCAGATTTTTGAACTATGCTGAGAAAAATACTTTAGAATAATGATGCTCCCTTTCTAAGTTTTAAGCATTTTGATTATTTTTCGAATTTTAGGAAGACCAGTTAATAAAGTACATGTTCAGGACAATTCGTCACAAACCGTGTCCATTGCCGATCAAGAACCGTATCAAACATGTTGCAAGTCGGATGAACGAAAGTCTGCTTTACGTGTTTCCGATGAAATGAGAAAAGTAAAGGAGAGACGCCAATCGATCCATGATCAAAGAAGAGGTTTATTTGGCGATGTTGAACGCTCATCCAGTTTAGATAATTTTGGTAAGTACAGTTTTTAAACCCAAACGTTGACACCTTTGTTGCTGTATGCTGCAAGTTAAAACTATTTTTTTCCGCCTTAATTTTTCGCTCTACTTAAAAAAAATAAATACAGGAAAATCTCACTAATCCGGCACTATTAAAAATCAGAGGGTGTCGGATTATTGGAATATTCTGATTAATGGATTATAGAGAAAAAATCATTATAAATAAAATAAAGCATTTCACAAAGAGAATATACCCCGTACACTATAACTTTGGACGCACGTCATCAGTTACGAAATTTGACAACCAACCTTAGAACAAAAACAATTATGCATGCAATTTGTGTGATAAGTCGAATCTTTTTTGTTGTGTTCATCATAAATTGCGAAAGAACTTGAGAATACTACTTTTTTTCTGACTGCGTGTAATTATTATTATATTCTTATCCTTCCTGGGTCTCAGTCAAAGTGTGAAGTAAAAAGAATATCGTTTATTTCATTACGTTTCGGCGAGACAACAGCGCCATCATCAGATTTAAAATTTACACAAACACATCATTGGTAACCATCAACGTTCTTTTAGGTCTTTGCCTTCTTGAACCTTAAATTTGTTAGAATTATTTTCTGCGATAGAGATAGAGATCAAAAAAATTTTGGTAGGTGAAATTTGCGATTTTTTCGAAATTTTACATTTCTTTATCGAAAACAAAGCTTCCTGTTGGGAAAAGTTATTCTTTATAAGACCTCGGACTCATCGAGCACTCATCCCTGATGATGTGAAGATGATGATCTGAACTCATCAGCACGGTATTTTTTCAACTTTCCAGCTTTCATAGTTTTGGAGAAAATCGAAAATATGGTTTGCAAAAAACTGCAAATATTTCGGTAAGCAAAAGAGCTGAAGTGAATCTAATCAGTTCAGTCGATCGGCCGTCTGAAACTCCATAAAAAAATGGTTAATAAACGAGCAAAGCAGACGATCTGACCTAACTTTTATTAACAAAATATGTGTGACTCCTCTGCTATTGATGGTCAAAGTTTCGGATGGTACTGTCTTTAGCAATAATGATTTTATTCGATTTTAGACTGCGAGAGTTGCGCAAGTCTGAGAAATAAAGCAGTTGAACTCAGGAGCCAAACTACCGCTTTAACAGATGAAGTAGACAATTTAAAAAGCGAAAACAAGTTTCTTGATAAAGAAAACGCAGACATGCTTCAGATGATACGAAATTATCAGGAAAGGGAATTGGAATTAGATAACAAGTTGATGAAATATGAACAGTGCGAGAAAGTTGACAAAGAAACACAGGTAAATTATTAGTTGTTCGTCTCGAATCATAATTTAAATCTAAACTTAAAATAATTGATCAATAACTCTATGCATTACTTATTTATATTAATTGATTACAGGCGACATGCGATCTACAACAAAAATATAATGCGTTAAAGAGGATTCTCAGACTTAGGAAGCGAGAAGCGATGAGCACTGAGTCGTAAAAATCTATTGCAGGATTTGAAAAACCTCGGACCTAAGTTTGAATAAGGTTTAATTAATTCTAATTCCGTTCCTGTGATCAGTAATAATTAAATTTAATGAATTGTTTTTCTGTATTTATACATTATTTAGGGCCCTTTTACTATTATTTGGGAAATAACCCTCCTTGAAGGGTTTTTCTTATCCACCATTCCTTTCCAAAATACACGGTTTTGAGTTGCTTCTAAGTTTTTCAGCCGATGGCAATTTTCCGAGTTGCACTTTTTATAGAAAATCGTACGTTTTTCATCAAATTTCCAAATCGGCCCCATATTAGCAGAGTTGTGCAGAAAGTGCCTACATACGAAAGGCTGTTTTCCCAAAAAAATGCTACTTAAATCCACCAAGAAAACGCTTATAACATTCTTATCGACCTTCAAACTATTGTTGTTGTTAATGAAAAGTTGTATTTTCTTCTAAATTCGGCTCTTAAGTGTCCCGTTTTTTCACCTGTCGTTTATTCCGAGTTATATATGATTTCGTTTCTAAGCGAAATTACTGGCTCGTCAGACTTAAAAACATCGTTGGGGGTTTAAAAGAAATGGAAAATAATAGTTGATACTTGAATGACTGATACAAAATTTTTCCATTCTAAATATTAATTTAAATTTCAATCAGTTAACTAAATAATAATTTCTGTTAGAAGTAAGCAAAAAGTATATTACTGTAATAAAAAACCTACGTTTCTAAATAAATTTTGAAAAATAATGCTTCAATTCGTAACATTTGGAAATTATGTATTATATTTACCATCATTTAGGAAGTGTATACAGGTTGTTTGAGAAAATGAGGAGTCGTTTTCTGACTTTTCTATCTAAGAAAACTTTTAGTTCAGACGGGCTGCATTCTGTTGTCAGTCCTTGAAATGCAAACATTTTCAACATATGATGAATTCTGTCTAATGGCAAACTGTCCAAATTCTTCAACATTCCGACAATATATGTCCAAATGTTCTACAAATATAATTCGTAAACATTAGCGATTCCAAAATTGTAAATTTCCAAAATATTCTACCTGAAATTCTTCGTCTTTTTGATCTTGTACACTGGCCATAGCGGATTCGGCTTCAAAGTCCTCATCACAGAAGACGACTTTTGCCAGATTTTTATTTTCAACGTTCTGAACTGAAAATATATCGATACTTGTCTCCGATAAAATTCCATGAGAAATCCAGAAACTTATTTTACGTCGTAATAAACTTGCTGTGCACTGCATTACGTTGCTTAATTCCTCAAGTTGCCACGTATCTAGAAGTTATTTTTTTTTACTGGATATAAAATACACTAATAGACAATATACAAAGTGTCCCGTAAGCACATGGTCAAAATGGTACTCCGACATCATTTGTTTCGATTTCATTTTTAAAAAAATCTATCAAAATGCTCTATTCAATTTAGGCATAATCAATATGGTTTCCATTTAAAAAAAACTTAAGTATGTATCATCATATGTCAAAAATTTGCTCAGTAAATTGAATTTCCATGTTCCTAAGAGCACAGCAGATTGGCCATTTTTTATATCTCTTTGGGACCATTTAAGTCCGAACTAAAGCTGAAGATACCCATGTAATTTATTTATTGATTATTTATCTGTTATTGTTATATGCTAATTTTTATTGTATTTTAATATTTCTATACGCATTGTATAATTCGCCATGGATTTTTTCCGTTTAATAAATTTAAAAAATTACAGTTAATTTGTAAAAATGCCATTTTCTTTGAAATTCAATGTTCTACAGCTTTTTTACTTAATGTTTTCCTGACAGATTAATATTGACGAAACTAGAAGTCATTTAAAAATCTACCATAAATCAGTTTTTTCCAGATTTTCCTGACAGTTGTCAAATTTTAGAAAAATAAAATTGGTTTCGAGTGGAGCATTCAAAACTGCAATTATTTGTCATTTTAGCCTTTTTCGTATCTGCTGTAGTTTCCAAGATTCCTGTAACAGTCATCGAAAAAAACTCACCCTCTATACATATTATAACTATAATATATATTCAGAACATCCCATTCAACTAAAAAAGTGTCTGTAGAATGTGCAAATAATTTTCTCATTTCAAATAACTCAGCCATCTCTATGTGCCGAAAATGGACAGAATTGAGTTTTTGCAAATAGGTCGAAAGCAAAAAATGAAAGCCAATTTTTGGTTTTTGCCATTGAGTTTGGCACAATAGAAAATGAAGGATGAGAGCTTCACTTTTTCCCATCTCCTTTAGTTATCCAGATTAAAATTTAAAACATCGAAATTTGCCCACCCTGTACTTTGTAGTTGGATTAATTAGTTTGAAAATTAAAAATTAATACTCACCCTTGTCTTGAAAGTGCATCAGAATAGTTGCCTGCATAGGTGACACTGATAAATTAAACGTTCTATCATTCAGCTCAATTTCAATATTCACAACCCCTAAATGGTTCTTCCAGCATAAAGTCCTGCTGCCTTTCAACGTTTCAAATCCGGCGGTAAATTGCTTAATTTGTTCAGCAACCTTGCTGTGCAATTCTAATTTCTCTTCTTTAAATGGCGGCCAAAACTGTTGGGAAACGATCAAAGTTGAAAGCGGTACAATACTTTCACTGTATTCACTGTCTTCTTTGATCCTTTGATTGATCCTCTTTGAATCCACTACGTCCTTCAGCATTACTTCGCAGAAATGCAAATTCGAATCTCCAAATTTCAGTTTCAGCAGTTCTAAGTAGCGAATTTCTTTCTCTGTGTCGCTTGTGTACTGCGATAAAAGCCGATCGGCTAGAAGATTCCTATACTCATTGACAAATAGTTCATTGCTTCCATAAATATCTACTAGCATGGATATGATGTCCACGTTACGACGACTGCCTACATCTTTTGGAGGATCTGAAATTAAAACAATCTTGAAACATCGCACTTGGCTATAATTCGCTTTACTTTTATCATATTATTTTCATATACGCCGCCCTAAAATTTACGGAACTCTTTGAGAACCTGTAATTTTTACAATGCTAATTACATTCAGATGAAGTTTATTTATTCCAAGACCCCCACTTCTCATAAATAAATTGTAGAGTGTTATATTTAATTTAATTCTTTTATTTAATGCACTGTGATCTTTCAAGGCAACTGTATAATGCTAGCATTCTTGTAATTAATTATTCCTGTCAAAATCAGAGATCTTCGCGAACTAGAAGTATATTTAACAATGTATCGCATGTACAGGGTGATTCAAAATTGGCGTCATTCCTCTGGAGGTGTTGTCTGACGGTGTTTCAGGAGTACAGGAAAAATAGTAAAAAAATTAATAAAAACAAATTTGCAAAAAGCTATATCAGAAATACCTGCTGCTTCGTAATTATTATAAACTCCGGTAGCCATGGAATTACACAGAAAGTGACAATAAAATAGACAAGGATAAACGGTAAATTCAGCAGAAATCGTCGAATGACGGAACGTACTTTTTCGAAATGTCAATTATTGTCCTCATAACCTCAAATTGATGTTTACAAATAAACATACTACCAATGACTGATCATTTAATCCAAAAAAGCCTGTGTAATCTTTTTATTACCCACTCTTATCAAGCAGCTTCTCGTATTCGGATAATTAACTCCTGCTCAATTTCTACCGGTGTTCAGTAATCCGTTGGTTTAATGTGTATGCTTAATGTAATTCCTCGGTATTTATTTGGTGCCTGGGAAAGTGTCAGTTGTGCTCTGAGTAGCCTGACAAAAACCATCATTGCCGCTTTGGCTTTTCATCAAAAAATTGTAGAAGAGTACTTTTTTAATATAACATTTTTTCGAAATTTGACAAAATAATCGTAATTTTTCTATTCGAATGTTTAAGTATTTCAATAGGCTACCAATCAAACCTTTTCAAAATAATCCTTAAGAACAAAGTTGAAATTCGATTTTCAACTGTTAATATCTTTTAGAAGTTACCGAAAAAAAAATTCAATACCTTTCTCTTACTCTACGATAAAAATTGATTTTGTGCGGTTTTCTCAATATAATTTTAAAATTATTTTTTTTAACACTATTAATAGTTATCAAAATTTTGTCGAAATTCCATTAAAGTAAGTAGAAACTTTTTAACAAGAAATGCGGCTCAAATTAAGTAGCACATATTCCCTTATAGAAAAATGAATAATTAGTGGCTGCAAATGTCATTTTTAACATAAAATTTCAAATATATCAAAAACCGTTAGACTTAGGTATATGATATTATACATAAAATAAATACAGAATTTCGAGTAGAATTTAAAAATGTAAAAAGATTGCATAAGCAAGTTGATACCAACTTACGGTATAACCGGAAGTGTGGCCATCTTGAAAATATTTTATATCGCTTGCCCCTAATGACTTCGGCACACTATTCAGTTTTCAAATTTCTCCTAATTATACTTTGTCAGATGTCAACTGCGGCGGTTCCCGACAAATGACGCCCATTTTAAATAACCCTGTATGTAGCAGAAGGTGTCAAATGGATGTCAGTTGAAAAAAGAAAAGTCAGTGGTAATTTTGAAGTAGATAGAACAAAATTCTTCATTCATCTCTATCGTGAACGTACCAACAAACGGGTAGTTTAACAATGAGTCTCGAGATTAATGGTGGGTTTATACACGAGAATAAGGATAAGGCTTAATGCATA